CCCCCCCCCCCCCCTGTCCAGCCGCTGCATGTGCCTGCACAGGCATGTGCCCCGTAGTTGGAGAGTGCGGAGGGCATGTTCCGGCACTTTCCTGCTCCCATCGGCTATGGCGAATCACCAGCGCCGCGAGTTTCCGTAAAGCGCCAAAAAAAATTATTGTTGGGGGAAGGTTGGCTTTTAACGGTACTTAACAATGTACTTGGTTCAATCATGACAGGGGGTTCGCTTTGCCCCGCTTCATCCCGCCTTTGGTTGGCTGAAGGTGGAACCAATGTCATACGCATGGCTGGTTTTTATGCCTAGGGGGACCGCCATCCGACTCAAGGCGCATGGCGCATAGCTGATAGTGCGCATCTGGTGCCGTTTTAAAAACAGAAACTCCTGTTTTGTTTATATTTGCCTTCAGATCAGAGGTCATAGTTCAGTGGTCACTGATAGCTTCTCTGCGAGCCGTGCTCAGTTCATACGAGCTTTCTAGTTACTATTGGAGTCGGACTGACCCAGTGACACTAGGGTAAACAGCTCTGACCTGGATGGTGCAAGAGGGTGCAAAAGGCCGGCATGGCTTTTCTCAGAAACACCGGTGAACACGCTGAGACCGCAGCGATCGGAGGCTAGCACCAGTGACCGGGGAGTATGCTGGGTGGACGCTCCTCACCGGACAGCGCCCGCCGGTGGCGCTGCCCGACCCAGCTGCGGCCCGGTCCGCCGCTGGTCAGGGTCGTGAGCGGCACATTGAGCGTGCTGCAGCTGGCGGCCGACGGCGCGGCCAGTGGTATGCGGGCCGGCCATGCCGGCGGCCGGTCCCCGGCCGGCTCTGTCTGCGCCGTGGCCGGCCGCCGCGTGACCCTTGGACCGGAGGCGGCGCGCCGTCCGGCCAGGACAGCGTGCCGGCGGTGGCCCGGCGAGCGCCGCTGGCTGAGCAGCGGGGCACACCCGTACCTCTCGGCGTGCCGGTGGTGGCCCGGCGAGCGCCGCTGGCTGAGCAGCGGGGCACACCCGTATCTCTCGGCGTGCCGATGGTGGCCCGGCGAGCACCGCTGGCTGAGCAGCGGGGCACACCCGTGCCTCTCCGCTTGCCGATGGTGGCCCGGCGAGCACCGCTGGCTGAGCAGCGGGGCACACCCGTACCTCTCGGCGTGCCGGTGGTGGCGGCAGCCGGAGATGAACATAACGGCGCATGGGAAGGTGCTCCGGAGGCGGGAATACTTTATCCGTGGTACTCATCGTTCTGTCATGCTTGCCGAAGGTGCTGTAAGCGTTTGGGACGGCATCGGTCCTCAGTCAGAGTGGGCCGAGACTTGGGCCCGCGTGTCCAGCATATGGCTGCCACGGCGTCGGCCACTTCAGTAGACAGCGACAGCTTGGCCGGCCGGCCGGCCCTGACCCAGGCGCCACCAGCCGGCAGGGGAAATGGGGGGGGGGGGGTGTGGGCGGGGAGGCGCTGCGCGCGCCACGCCGGGGGTGGCCAGCATATTTTTGTAAGCCAATTTGGGTTTGTGTTTGTTGGAAATGCATCGGTGATGGCGACATGTTGATGACTTCTGACGCCAGAGCTGGGTCAAATGTAACGCGGCCGGACTTAGCCGTTGGTGATGGTGCCCCGGGACTCAGCTGGTGGCCGGATGTGGCCCCACGGACTTCAGCTGTGCAAACGGATTATTTATACCACTTGATCCGGGTTCCCCCCCCCCCCCCTTCCCCCATCCACGGGCGTTTTTTTATTGGAACCTGAATGGCATTTGGTGTACGCGGCGGCGGCTGATCCCGGGCAGTGTGAGATGTGATGCCACGCACACGTTTGAGCTGACCCCAAGATCGATGCTAAACGTTCCCACCACCTTCGCAACTAGCAAGGCATTTGTCATCGGGTGATGGAGTGACTGGGCGCATTTACACTATGTTTGGCGTGTTGCCGATTCCGTACATTTCAGGGCACTTGGCCAATGTGGGCCGATTTAGAGGGTCCCTCGAATGGCGGACTACGCCTCAGTCTCAGCCACCGAGCTGCCGTACCCAGTCCCAGTCACCGGGCTGCCGTACCCAGTCCCAGTCACCGGGCTGCCGTACCCAGTCCCAGTCACCGGGCTGCCGTACCCAGTCCCAGTCACCGGGCTGCCGTACCCCAGTCCCAGTCACCGGGCTGCCGTACCCAGTCCCAGTCACCGGGCTGCCGTATCCAGTCCCAGTCCGAGTGTCAGTGGCTGTGACCAGCTACGACGTTCCGCAGCTCGGGATCAGCGTGGAGCGGCAGTATTTGGCTGTCACGCGACGGGCCCAGCGGCGGCTGGAGCGCACGTGTTGGCAGCGTGTTCGGCGCGTGAGCTGACGGTGGGGCTTATCGGGTGGGGGGCGGGGGGTGAGGGGATGGGGATCTTCGCTGCGACCCACCGCCGCCCTGATCGGATATAGTCAGTGCATACGTCACACTGATGCGCCCAGATCAGCCAGCATATAGATGTGCCGGACAGCTAATCAAAATGACGCGACCAGCCGTGATTGTTGAGCTGTTTTGTGTGTTGCGTCGCAGCAAGCCCAAGCACCTCGGGATGCACACGTGCTGTGGCGGGGTGCCGTAAGTTAGTCTGGGCTGAGTCGCTATCCCCGCCTTTCTTTGTCTCACCGAGAGGTCAAGGGGCTTGCTCCAGTCGCTCCGTTCGTCACCGGATAACGTAAACAGCGGAGCAGCTGCTGACGCAGGGTGACGGTGCGGTTCGGTTGTATATTAATATGTCTGTTCGCCTGTGCATGGCGTACCCGGTGTGACGTTGCTTGTCTCGGGACGACACTGGCCTCTCGTGACCACCGCGTGCTGCCGCGCTCCGGTCGGTGTTCGTAAAGCCATTGGAGGGAGGCCAGCGGCCTTGTGCCGCGCAGCGAACAACCGCCACCCGTGATCGGTGGCGGCGACTCGCTCCATTTGGCGGTCACCGACCGGCCCCTGGCCCGGACCGCGGCGGCCAGGGCCGACACGGGCCGCGGACGGCCCGAGCCCGCTGCCCGAAAATACCGCGGACGACCCGAGTCCGCCGCGAACGTGAGTGTACGGCGGAGATGGGACCGAGCCGCAGGCGTGAAGCGGGGCAAGCCGGAGTCCGCTGCCGTGAGGGTGGCCGCGGACGGCCCGAGTCCGCTACCTGAGGGTGGGGAGGATCGGCCGGAGTCCGCTGCCTGAGGGTGCCGCGGACGGCCGGAGTGCGCTTGAGGGTGCCGAGGAGGCCGGAGTCCGCTGCCTGAGGGTGCCGCGGACGGCCGGAGTGTTCCTGAGGGTGCCGCGGAGGCCGGAGTCCGCTGCCTGAGGGTGCCGCGGAGGCCGGAGTCCGCTGCCTGAGGGTGCCGCGGAGGCCGGAGTCCGCTGCCTGAGGGTGCCGCGGACGGCCGAAGTCCGCTGCCTGAGGGTGCCGCGGAGGCCGGGGTCCGCTGCCTGAGGGTGCCGCGGAGGCCGGAGTCCGCTGTCTGAGGGTGCCGCGGGGGCCGGAGTCCGCTGTCTGAGGGTGCCGCGGGGGCCGGAGTCCCGCCGCCCTTGTGCAGTGTCCGCTAGCGCCACCGATGCGCGGTCTCCGTGTCGGGGGGGGGGGGGGGGTCGGCGGACAGTACACATTTGGCGTGCTGGGCTGATGCTAGACGGACTCAGTTGTTGGGTGACTGGGGTTTTTGGTCACTGCCATGCAGCTGGCTGGTAGTGCATCTCAATGATGATACTTTAAGTGACCGCTGGTGAGCCAGAACATTGACCTTATGCGCCGGGATAGGGGACTTTTATCCCTCTGGAACGCTGCGCCTTGTGTTGTGCACCCTGCTTGTACTCTAGTATTTTGCCAATGCTAGCTAGTTATTTGCGCTTAGTGGCACGAAAGCTGTCATTTTACGTCCTTCCGCTCGTATTGAAATGGCGATCTTGTGATATTGAGTGAAAAAAATGATTGACATTTCATTGTTCGTGTGTGTATTTCTTTGCCTTTTCCCAAGCGTGAGGTCGAGGGCTGTGTGTTCTGTTAGTTTGGTCAGAAGGGTTGGCATGGAGGTGAGGACCTCCAGTGAGGAGGGGGGGGGGAGGAGCGCGGGACTCGAGCACACCAGCTGAACAGGATCCTACGCTGGCTGGCTTGTAACGTGTAACGGCCCTGCTCACCGTAGCAGCAGCTGCAAACCTGCTGAAAACGAAGGCAATGATACTCTCACGGCGCTCGAGGTTTTACATAGCCACAGAGTCCGGCACCTGACTTGTATTGGTCAAAATGGTCGTTGGTATCGAAACAAGCTAGCCTGAAAACAGCAGCTCGATTGTGGAGCGTTCGCACCTTTCCTATACCATATGCGCGGTTCGCCTGTGCATGCACCTGCATTTTGATGCTTGTCTTTGGAAGCTGAAGTTTGTCGTCCGGCCGCCAGGTGCTGGTGCTGTGTGACAATCGTCTGACGGAGCTCTCTGAGGCCATCTGCCGGCTGCCGCGGCTGCGCACGCTGCTACTACACGCTAATCAGCTGTCCACGCTGCCCGCCTCCCTGGTCCGGCTGCGCGCGCTCAAACAGGTAGATGACGTCAGCGGCCAGTGTTCTCTGCCCGGTTGGTCAGCGGCCAGTGTTCACTGCCCGGTTGGTCAGCGGCCAGTGTTCACTGCGCCCGGATTATCGGCAGTCAGTGTTCACTGCGCCCGGGTGATCGGCGCCCGGGTTTACTGTGCCCGGGTGATCGGCGGTCAGGGTTCACTGCGCCCGCGATATCGGCGGCCAGGGCTCACTGCGCCCGGGTGATCGGCAACCAGGGTTCACGGCTCCCGGGTGATCGGCGCCCGGGGTTTACTGCGCCCGGGTGATCGGCGCCCGGGGTTTACTGCGCCCGGGTGATCGGCGGCCGGGGTTTACTGCTCCCGGGCGCTCAGCGGTAGGTGCGCTCAGGATCTGACTGTCCGGTTAGCAAACTAGCCTCATGTCCACTTTGTCACGGACGTCAGGTGACGTTTGCCGTGGCTCGTGATCCCGGGAGGGGGCCAGCCTAGATTCCAGAGTTGTCGTCAGGCGGGTGATATACGCCATGTGCTTGAACCCAAAAGCCCTGGATGTTCTGGCACGAGGAAATACCTGCCACGGCGCTGCAGGTGACCGCGCGGACTGGCCATGTCCTTGTCCGTCAGCGGCGTGCCAGAGGGCCGCCAAATAACGTCACCCCTCTCCTGACAGCTGAGCCTGCGCGACAACCCGCTGGTGCGCAACTTCGTCAGCAGCATGGAGTACGAGCCGCCGTCGCTGGTGGAGCTGGCCGCCCGCTCGGTCAAGCTGCACGGCGTGCCGTACGGGCCGGCTGACCTACCGGCCGCGCTCATCGAACACCTGGGCTCCGCCAAACGCTGCGTCAACAAACGCTGCAAAGGTGCGGTTGGACGGGGCGCCGGCGCGGGCTGCGCTCGGCGCGGTGACACCCCTCGGTTGTGGGCGTGGTCGGCTGGCCACCGGCGTCGCGCGGTTAGATGGAGTATGGTCGCACTATGACAGAAAGAGTCGGTGCTACTGGTGTGTGGTAATCACCATTGATGTGGTGTGATGTGACACTGAATACTCATATTCACGCATTTAGATATCAGTCATTCCATTGTCGTGCATCGTTTCTCTTACACTTGCCACTTTTTTGTCACCTCGCGCACCGCGCCCCACATCATACGTAAATTTTTCCACTCACGAATTTCAAGCAGATATGATTTTCTGACATGCGCGAGTGAACAACGCACCTCCCGCTTTTGAGTATCTCCATTGTCTCCGCCCGCTCGTAGGCCAGACCCCAGTGACTCCTGCGGAGACCTGACCACGGTTCGCTGACCGGCAGGGGTGTTTTTCGACACGCGCGTGGAGGACGTGCAGTTCGTGGACTTCTGCGGCATGTACCACATCCCTCTGATGCGCTACCTCTGCTCGTCCCACTGCGAGAGCCAGCAGGCGGCCGAGCGCAGCCTGCAGCCTGACGAGTCCGATTCGGAGGAGGAGGTGGGCTGGCGGCGGCGCCGGCTGCGGCGCGTCCTGCTCGGCTAGCCGTGCTCTGAGAGCGTCCTGCTCGGCTGGCGGCTCTCTGAGAGCGTCCTGCTCGGCTGGCAGCCTTCTGAGAGCGTCTTGCTCGGCTGGCGGTGCTCTGAGAGCGTCTTGCTCGGCGGGCAGCCCTCTGAGAGCGTCCTGCTCGGCTGGCGACCCTCTGAGATCGTCCTGCTCGGCTGGCGACCCTCTGAGATCGTCCTGCTCGGCTGGCAGCCCTCTGAGATCGTCCTGCTCGGCTGGCGACCCTCTGAGATCGTCCTGCTCGGCTGGCAGCCCTCTGAGATCGTCCTGCTCGGCGGGCAGCCCTCTGAGAGCGGTTTGCTCGGTTGGCGGCCCTCTGAGAGCCTGTGGTCAGTCGAGGACCACCGCAGCTCCGCTGGCGCCCCTCTGAGAACGGCTTGCCCGGCTGCTGGCCCTCTGAGAGCCTGCGTCAGTCGAGGACCGCCGCAGCTCAGCTGGCGCCCCTCTGAGAGCGGCTTGCCCGGCTGTTGGCCCCCTCTGAGAGCTGGCGTCAGTCAAGGACCTCGAGCGGCCCTCGGACCAAGGACCTCGGCCTCGAGCGGCCCCACAGCAGTGCCACGGCCGATGGACGGCAGCACGCCAGCGTCGAACCCGGACTGGGCTGGGCAGGACACGCCCCGAAAGCGGCTCGTCCACACCAGGGACGCGTCCTGAGTGCTCCTGGTGGGCACGCTACGCTGGGTGCCGACCGCGAGGTCGTTTGCCCCGGCCGGCGGCGGCTGTCACAAGCGGCCAGGACGCTGAACGCGGCCACACTGAACTGTGGGAATCGGCTGCGTTTTGGCACAGGTTAAGTAGATAAGTCGTACTGGACGACATATGCACATGCGAACAGTTGTGCGGAGTGGTGGGGATGTGAAGGGAGTGATGTGCTGACGTGGAATCTCGTCCGAGGGGGCCGCTGAGGGGCCAGCGTGTGGCCAGCGCAGCCCTGCCCTCTGCCAGGGCTGCTCCTTGGTGACTGAGGTCAACACTCACGAGGAGCGCGTTGTAGAGCGGTTCGCCCGTGGAATCATTGGCGTAGATTGTCTCATCGCCGGCGAGCCTGGGGGCGTGAGGCGCCTCTGAGGGCAGCCGCGGCGTCCCTGTGCAGTGCTGTG